CTCATCCTTACTTTGTTCTTTTCAGATGGAGTGTTTTTTGAGTTTGGTGGGTTTTTTTGCTTTGGTTTGTTTTTTGGGGGGCTTTCTTTGTTTTGTTTTTGTTTTTTGGCTTTTGTTTGTTTGTTTGGGGTTTTTGTTTTTAGTTTGTTGGTTTTGTTTTTTTGTTGCTTTTTGTTTTGCTGGTGTCTTTTTCAGTAGCAACATATTATTCCACAGAAGAAAAAAAAAAAATCACCATTTCCTGCTTTCTTTATTGTAGTCTATCAGCTCCCAGAGAAAAAGGATCTTGTTTCTTGGTCTTTCCAAAAGCTGTGAACTTTCCTGCTGACCTTCTCTTGGCAGTTCCAGACTCCTGAATTGGCTACCTTTCTCTGTGGATGAAATCCAATAAGCTGTTTTCTGGCCAACTCATCCCTTCACAGCCCTCTAAAAGCAGAATGACACAGGTGGTTTTTTTGCCACATACCCATTATTTAGAGACTTTCAGATGCTAATGCCACTGATTATACAAAGATAAGGAGATTTCTCCTTATATGCCTCTGAAGCAAATTTTACTTGTACAGCACTGAAAACACAGAGAATTTGCTGGAATGAAGTGTCCTTTCAGAAGAATGCTTTGTGAATGTCAGTGCAGCAGAGAAAGATTATGCATTGAATGAAGATGGTAAATTAATTTTTCTTTCAAGAAAGAATAAAGGACATACAAAATTAAAAGCAATATTGCTTAAAAGGCAAATAACAGCACATATAGATGACAATAATTTAAAATTTGCACTTCTTTTTAGAAACCACTATTAGGGGAAAAAATGGTAAATTGCTCTATGGAAAATGTAGAAAAAAGTGCCTAGTGCAGAGAAGAGCCATTCATTTTTTTATGTGATTGTTAACAGCTAATGCTCCTCCTTCTTGAATCCACAGAGATTCCAACAGCTTTGCTTGCTTTCATTCAGCAGAGAAGGTTGAGATTGTTTGTGCATTAATGTTTAGTAGTGATTGCATTGCAGCTGAAAACAGAATGAGTGAGCTGTCCTGTCCTGCCACAGGGTTCCTAAATGTCTTTGTCCACCTCATGCCAGACAAGATGAAAGAACAGGGCAGCTCTAAGAGATACAGGGATAAATCTCAGCATGTGCAAACTGAGGACTCTTCTGTAAACACAGGTGAGAGCCCAGTACTCAGAATCTCAGCTGATATTCACTGCAGCATCCAGATGGTTCTCAGGTTCCCAGTGCCATCAATTCTGCCTTGATCTCAGGATTTCACTGTTCTTGTGTCCAGAAACACTCCCTTTCTAAGTAAGATGAGAAATTCATAGCTTAACCTGATTGGATATCCCACTCTTCCTTCTGTGTCTCTTGCGAAGTATTTTAAGGAAGATGACCAGGAGGCCAGCACAAGCCACAGTAGTGAGCCTCACATGATCTTGGGTAAAGTTTCAGTCAGAGCACACAGGTAAGGTCCTACAGACCCACTTTTTTGTTACAGGTTATAATATTGGTCTTCTGTGTAAGCGCTGGCTGTGCATTGTGCAATATTCTACATGCATTTATAAGACTGTAGTTGCAGCATCTGAGCAGAGTGGCAGGAAGTGTCAGAGGGAGCTGTACCACTGTGGGGGAAAATATGAATACACATCTCTACATGTCTCACCTCTCAGTCAGCGTCTCGCTGCCGACAAACACCATCTATGAGTGGAAGGAGGAGGGTGCAGCATCACAGAAAGCTGTAAAGCTTCTCAACCCATCCTGTCACAGGCTCACTGCAGAAACAGGAAATCAGCAGGCACCCGGGGCTAGTCCTAAAAACAAGAGGTCTGCCCTGCCTGTGCTGCATAATCGTTATTGAAAATCCAGAACTGGGTAGAAACAGAGGCTCAGAAGTACAGAATTCTCCTGAGGATCACTTACCTAAGCCTTGTGCACTGGGGAGGGAGAGGAAAGCGTCCCAAAATCAGAGGGGTTGTTAAGAAACTTAGGTTCTTTCACAGACTGAAATCAAGTTGAAGATAAAGAAACTTAATTGTCATTTTGCTGAGTTGAAAATAATCAGTAATAATGTCCCTCAGGTTTTACTCAGCATCCTCATCTCAAAACTTGTGAAGGAGCTGAATAGTGAAACTTCCAACCCTTCTGCTAGATAGTCTGATAGTCTTTCAGTCAGACCTTTCAAAAGTGATTTAGTGGGCAAAAGAATGGCTGATGACCTCCAGCATAAACACAAAACAAAGTGTCTAAAGTATATAATTATAAGCCATGTTATTGTGGCACTGAGAGCAGAACCGGCAATTCAGCTGAAGACAGAGCTCTCAGAGCTACTGCAGACAGGTTTCTGCAAATACTGCTTCAGCATGCAATAGCACTGAGTTGAAAGAAACCCAGAAAAATGCTAAGCATCACCAGGGAAGGATGCAGAGGAGGATGGAGGGAATCATTCTTTTGTACCTAAAACCACAGTGCTTCTACTTCATAACCACTATGTGCAGTTCTGTTCTGCAGCACTCTAAATGGGTGGCAGTGAGGATTGGACAGGTAAAAGCAATCAGGTGGTGGACTTCCAGAGAAAGACTGTTCTGCAGTCCAAGAGCAAAGGAGGATTCCATAAAATTAGCATGAAATCAGTTTAAAAAAATAAAAGAATCCAGTGGGGAATAAATTTGTGGAATCTGCTATCATAGGAGGATACAGAAGTAGACCATGTCAAAAGTCATGAACAATAAGCCTGCAACTATATAGCTCAAGTTTAACTTCTCAATTCCAGTGACAAGCTGAGTAGGAAAGCTGCAGAAAACAGCCAGGTTTCCATGACTTCCCTCAGGGTTCACCTCTGCCAACTCTCACAGCTGCTGTCTCTGACACTCTCAACAGGAGAGAGCAAGCAGGGAAAAACAGACATGAGTGAAGAGGCTCTCTTGGGTAGATAATGGACTTTCTAGATACGAAGAGTAACTATGGATGATTCCTATTTTTACCTGTTCTCTTGAAAGCCTAGGAATGTGCAGGTGGCCTGACCCATCATATGGCCAGGCAGAGAAGGTTGATCCAGTTGGGAGGCAGAAACTAGGTGCAAACAACAATGACTGGATTGATGCCTAGATGATTTTTTGCCTTTCCTTTTATATAACTTGCATGATCCTCAGTATTCTTAGCATGCATACTTGCAATTGCTTAAGTCTGATAACGTAGCATAGCCCTAGTGTTCTGTTAGGCATGGGGACCAAACATCCTAAAGGCCTTGAAAAAGGAGGCTGGAAAATGCAAAGCTATATGGGGAAACCAAGGTCTTCTCTAGAACCTATCCTGTAAACCAGAGATTTGGCCCACCCAGGGGGGGAATTCTGCAGATGGGGGAATATCAGGCCATTCATCCAGGCCTCCCATTGGTGCATCCTTGTTAGATATGCCAGTTTGTAAGGTCTATAAATTGCATACATGATCTATGGTGTGTGCACATTGAAGCACATCCCACCATGGGGAGACAGTGCACCATAAGGACCCATATTAAAATACCAAGATAAAATCCCCTTATCTTTTAACTATGTCTGGCTCTCAATTTTAAAACCAGGAAAAGGCATCAGGATGAACTTAATTGGTGGTGGCTACATAAAAGAAGGACTCAATAGAGAAAAAAAATAATAAAAAAAGGACTACTGGAACATCACAGGCAGATGTAAGCTCAGAGAACAGTTTACTTTAGAAAACAAAAAATCTGGCAGACCAACAGCAGAAAAAGCCTTCTTAATTTTTAAATTTTTTTTGCATCATTTGTCTAGGAAATTGAGATCTTCTGTCTTAGGAAGAATTTTGGCCCAGGAAAATCAGCTTAGATATTTATCAACAAGATCAGAATGAGGAAAAAGGGGGGACACTAAGTTTTCCAAAATAGTACCAATCCAAAGAGGAAAAGCAGTGTTTTCCTTGTGCTCCAGGAAGCTGATGCTGCTCAGCTTCAACAGTGCAGAAATAGAGATACTGAAGGCACTACTTCCCTTTTGCTAAGGACTGCCAGTACTGGAGGGGGGAAGAGAAGGAAGACCTTGCAGCTGTTTCCTGCAGGAAACCTTCTCCAGTGGGGAGAATACACTAAGCCCAGCTGGAGTGAATGGGCCTCTGCAGGCTTTGAAGCACACAGTGTGTAGGGGTAGGTGTCAACAGGTAATAGCTTGGACATGATCTTTTTTCTAGGCTCAGACCCTGCACTCAGATTTACAGCAGATCCATTATAAAATGTTTTGTGGTTATTTTCCTCAGGGTCAGGATTAATGAGGGAGAGATGGTATTCTTGTTTGGACTCAGAGATGTTTATTATTTCTTATCTATGCTACATTCTCACAGACTGTGAGCTCTTCACCACACTAAGCTAACAACCTAAAAATGGAACCCCAGATCTCTCTCTACAAGGCCTTTTAAGTGTAAACTACATAGCTATAAAATTCCAACTAATTTATTTTTACTTTTAGCCCAATAACGAAACACCTGAATTCCACAGTGTGGACATTTCTACCCAATCACACACAATATCACCCAAACCCATAAAGAAGAAGGTGAAAAAGTAAGACAAGCCTACACCCTAAAACTTTCATCTTGCTACACATATATTACTATATCCCAAAACCTCAGACTCTAAATTTTCCACCATGTGATACAACACTATCCAAACTACACACCCACAGCCTATCACTCAGTTTTGGAAGCCTTTTCCATGGCCTCAGCTGAAATACAGTGTTCTCCTGTGGGTCACTGGCTGTCAGCACAGAAAGCCTGAAATTCTCTGCCCAGGGTTCTAACAATCCATGCTTACCCAAATGCTGGGTAAAAAAAGTGGAATGATCATTTAAAGAGATTTGGATCTCAAAACAAAGCACTGTTCCCACAGGCTCTACTTATAACTTCAAAAAGGCATCAGCACTGGCTGCAAGCAGAGTAGTGGGTACAGAAAGGCCCTTCATTCCAGAAGTTCTTCAGACCCTTTCTGGTATTCACCTTTAAGGCAGAAAATTGCTGAGGGATTCCTTCTTCTTACCTACCAGTTCTGCTTATTTGTCTAATTCCATTATTTGGTGTCTATTTCTTTCTGTGCATAATTTTATTTCTAGAAGTTAGGAGCTTCTTTTTCTGTACAGTTATTTCAAATTGTACATGTATTCCCTCTTCTGTTCATCTTTGTGAGACCAGATTCATCTAAGTTGCTATTCTACACATTATCTGTGTGCTCCATTCCACATGGGACTGTAGTGAAAGTGAAATACAGCGCAAACTGGGTGAAAATTCTTGGGAAAGTGGTAAGTGTCATTAGCCATTTATTGGTTGCTCACACAAATAGAAGAGTCTGGCAATTCTCCATGGAGAGAATAATTTCTATCTAAACAGCTTCTCAGATACATGCTGGCTTATTGTTGCATAATGTGGGCAATGCAAGGATTATAGCTGTCAGCAGTCCTTTATAGTGGCTTGGAAGAAATGACCAGTACAAAGTAATCTTACATCCAGTTTGTTCCAGTGTATGGATCCAACCCACTGACTGCAAAATACTTTACTTGATGAGGAGTCATGCAGCCACTGAGCACACCCAAAGAATATGTTTCATCTATAAGATGTGTGGAATTTCAAGCTGGCAAGCTGACTGCTTGAATGCCAGAATAATAAAGATGGTTTCAGGCCATTTCAGTCTGATCTAAATATCTGCCTTTTATGAGAGCTCTTTTAAGTCCAGAAATCAGACTTTGCCTTTCTTCTCCTTCATCTTTGAATACAGCCATCCTTTCAAAAGGCATAATGAGGAATCTTGTTGATACTCTGCAGTTCTTGAAGAGAGAAAAAAATACTGTCATCATCACCATCATAATGAATAATTTTTATTTTAAAAAACTTTTATAAAATGAACATTTCTCTCTACAGAAAACAGAAGCAGAACAGGAAAATGGTCAAATGATACAACCTGAAGCTGCCATAGCATCTCTCCTGAGAATTTTTGGTCTGCCAGACTTGTCACAATCCATCACATTGATTGCTGTGTCACCTTGAATCTTGAATGAGCTGTTCTTGGCAAGAAAAAGCTAAACTTTCTTCCCAGCCCTTGCCAACCCCCTTTCCCTGCAACAGTGGCAGAGAGATGATGCCATTTATCTGGGCCTTCAGCAAATTAGGAACGTCTTTACCTTTCTTTCACACTGGCAACTCAGAAAACAGCAAGTGTTTAGTTAAGCAGCAGAGTTGTACAGCTGAGACCTTGTTGTCTCTGCTGTATCATACATCAATTTCTGATGGCCAGGTTGTAAAGTGACACATATTCCTTCTTTCCCCTCTGCTCTTTCTCCTTACCCTGTGAGGACAAGATTTGGTGCATGGGGCTGAAGAACCAGAGGGTGATGGGCTAGGTATGTTTGCCTTGTGTGAGACACAGCTGGGAGCTAGGGTGTGGAGAGAGCAGGCAATGCATAAAACATGGCATAGTCATGATGAGGAAAGACAGTGAGGAAGCCAGGAGCAGTACTATCTATCCTTTTTGGTTAACTATTTGCTTTCAGAAGAAGCTTATTATAACTACTTTCTTATCTATATAACTATTTGCACAGCACCTTGCCGGTGTGCTAACAAACTAGAAACATCCCTTCTCCCCTACAGCTGTCTTTAAAGAAGGAAAGAAATAAAACTATCCTTCTTTCCTATGTATGGAGAAATTAATGTACTACAGGAAAGGCAGCTCTGCCTTTGTCCCATAATAAATAAAACCCATCCATATTTGGAGCTATCACACCATACACACAGAGAACATAGATGCACTAGATTATCTTTGTAACTGTTTTAATATTACAAGACCACAGGGAACCAAGCTTTGGAGTTAAACAGCATGGAGCAAATCAATAAAAATTTCAATGTGAATTGCATATCTAAAGGCTAAAAGTCTTGTGCCAAGACACAGAGCAGTGGCAGAGGATAGAAAATGACTTACTTTAATTAGTTTAAAAAACAGAGGAAGATTAGGAGGATTTCTGGATGATTCATAAATGCAATGCTTCTTTTAATCTTGTCATTACAAGATTGAAAAATGAACTCCATAGGAATTTTCCTTTATGCTCCGAAATTGGTGATTTTTTTTAATAGCTGTTTCAACTCTCAAAGCAATCTCTGATTTACTGACCTGGAAATAAATTCTGCCTTATCAAGAAACAATGTCTGAGACTGATTGCTGTTGCTAATGTAATTAATAACTGACAGCAGAAGAGCTGGTGAGAGAAAGGAATCCTGGCTGTTTACAGTATATGGGCCCCAGTTACACACATAGTTTCTTTCCAGATTATCCAGTGCCTCTGGATCAGACACATACACTTGTACTTTCTCACCAGAACATCCCTTTTCTTTACTCTTCTCCCTTCTCAGCCCATTTCTTTTGTCAGGCAGCAATGCACCAGTGAATATATTCTAAGTCTCATTCAAAACAGCTGAGCAGGTTCACCTGAAAATTTCTAAAGCATTTGGCCAGAGCTACACACCTGGAAAAGTATCATCCTGGATGCTGAGTGTATAGAAAACTGCTAATTATGTCAGGTGGGATATAATGGAAAGCATCTGTCACATAGCACACCATCTGCTTTCACAAAAGTGACAGAACCAGTCACCGTGGTTTGCTCTCTGTCCAAGCTCACTGTAGCTCTTTTTCTTTGAAAAGCAAATATCAACAAGTGGCATTTCTAATGACAAGACAGTTGGTCTATTTGAATACATTGGTTTCACTGAGATCTTAAGAAAGTGGTCTGCAGGGGGATATGTCTGGGAAGTCAGTACCGACCTACAGATGAGAAGTGCTGATCAGGTGAAGTTATGAAGCCTTAGAACCTCATTGTTGGTAAATTTGTGCATATTTTCACCACTGCTGAAAGAGGTTCAGGCAGATGGAGGAGGCACATTTGGAGGCAATAGAGATATAAATGACGTAGAAAATTTTGTCCCTAGCTTTCTGATAAAATCTAGGTACCTTCTCCAAAATGTGTCAGATTCATCATACAATTCTAGCAGTCCTAATACTTTGAAAGACCTGCAGGTTTGTAGTCTGTTCTCCCTCCTTTCCTTTGTGATTTCTGCTACCTTTCCTTACCTCAAGCCCTTGGGAACAGTTCTAGGTGTCGGCAGAACATTCCTTTATCCTGACTGTATACAAGATAAAGGAGCCAATGCCCTATACAATGTACTGAATTCTGTGTACTGAATCAGAGGGGACCTGCACAGCTGATTTTCCAGAATTCAGGTAAAATTTAAAGCTCTGTGCACATCTGAAAGCCTTAACAAGTTAGGACATCATCATCTGCAGTCTGAAGCAAGTCTCCCCCACAAATGGACAAATTAATAAAAGAAAGAAGAAAAGGGAAAATCTATTTTAACAATTATTTTGAGGTTTTCGGAATATAATGACTACATATCAAGCACACAGTTCAAACTTCTTTGACATCTGGGGTCAGCTGATATTTATCCCTTTTCATGGAAAATATCACCTGTGCTGAAAGATAGGAAGCTAGGGACTGCTGTAATAGCTCACCAAATGTATGATTAGTAGCAATTCTTTACCTTGACAACAGGATGAGAAAGAAAAATCATCTGTGTGGGCAAGATAAATCTCTGCAAGCAGCAGTATATTGAGGCATCAGCATCTTCAGTATCCCTCCTACCAGCAGTATGAAGGTGCAGACTGCAGACACCTTCTGCTCAGCGAATTAATAGGAAAATCTATGGCTGGCTCAATCTTTGCACTTCATTTCACCTGCCATGATAAAAAATTATAGGTAAAATATTCAACATGTCAAACATTGTGCTCAGGTGTACTGTGTTAAAAAATGCTCTTTCCCCAGATTTTCACAAATAACCCTCCAGCCCACTAAATTAGGGAACCTGGAAGAATAATCTCAAACAGATGATCCCTCACAGGTTTACATTATCAGCTGCTCACATGCTTAATTATACATTTTTAATTGCTTAGCAGGCTTAAATGATCTCTGATGTGATAAAAAACACATAAAAGAAGGAGCCATCTATTTGTGCAGGAACTGGTTTCAAAACTGACTTAATGTATGACATGTACCACCTATTCTGAAATTTTCAGAAAATGACACAGAAAACTGCCGTAAAGGAAAAAGCATAATTTTAGAAAACCTTCATTGTTTAAGTAGCAACAAAACTATCAAACCAACTAAACAAAATCTCAAGTGAACACAAAAGAAAAGGAGAAAAATAAAGGAATTTAGACTTCAGAAAGTAGTTTTTGATTCTGAATTCCCTTTTTTTTTTTTTTCTCAGACTGAAAAACATGATACCTTTTTTTTTTCTGAAAAAAACCTGAAAATTTTGTATTAATTGTTCTGAAGGTGTTTATGTTGCAACAGTGAAGGTTATTCTGGAAGAACTTGCTGCGCCTGAATCTGTTAATCTCAGATATTTCTAGAGGGCATGAGAAGGAATAAACTCTCTATACCTGTCCTGAGAGGTAAATGCATGTTTCTCTAATTTGTAGTGTCTTTGAGCTCCATCAGTATTTATTTTCTACTGTCAGCTATAAAACTACTCTAACCCACTGGCTAGCTACTGCAGATTTGGACTGTAGAGGAGAAACCTGAACAGTCAGGGTGGGTCGTCATACAGCATTAACAAAAATTGGGAACTTATTTTCATTACCATGGACATTTAGGCAACAGAGTTTAAATAAGGTGGGTCTGAAAATTAATCACTTCTCCATGGCACAAGAAACTGAAGGCAGTTTTCATATAGACTTCATGCTGGTTTTCTGTCCCTATACAGTTAGAACAGTTAATGTAGCCTTTCAGAGTTCTCATACACCAAGCTAAACAAGTGCAACATGCATTCATCATCTTTCTTGATTTAAAGCCTTCCAGTTTTCATGTTAACTCTTACCATGAAAGAGAGTGCTCTTTTGCCAGTAGCTCTTAACTGCAGAACACGGCCTGTTTCCCTGGGTTTGTTTTTAGCACTCTTTACCTACTCTGCTTGGCGTTAGTAAATTACCAAGGGTAGCTTTGACATGACTCATTCTGTCTCCTAGATGATCTAACAGATTGTAAATATGAAGAAGATTTGTGGGGAAATACATTGGGGAGATTGTGCCTGGATGTTTTTATCTTTAAAAGTATTGCTACCTTGTGTTGTTCCTGTCCAACAAGGCAGACTTTTATATGTAAATCTTTCCCTAAGCATGCTAATGAGATAAATAAAACTTTTCTTCTTCTGAGCAGCCAGAGTCCATGGAGAACTCCCTGTTTCAGCTGTAAGTTATGAGTACCCTGGAGGATGCACTAACATATCCAAAGCAGCCTTCATCTTTATGGAGTACTGACCTCTCCCTTCTTCACTATGTAATAAGCCTACTTTCAAGTCCTTCCAGCTACAAGAAAAGGTAGAAAAGATTGGCGGCATTTGCATATTTTTGAGTCAAGACCTCTTGATTATAAACTATAATGTATGTCTTCTGCTCAATGAACTTGATTCCCAAGTGTCACAGGTGCTCCAGTGATAACATGAGAAGTTTAGCTCCTGATATGGACACATCTTAACTGTTTTGTGCAAAAGAAGAAGAAGGTGAATGTGCATTCTTGAAGGAGTTGGGATATGTCAGCAGACATTCCCAGTGCTCTTGGAGCAACACAAAATCTTAGTAGCCATCAGTGAGTCTCTACCACAGAGAGACAGGCAATCTACCATAAGAGGGCTGGGAAATCTGTATGTTTCAGTCTCTGATGTTATGAAATTGTCTGTAGGGCACACCAACTCACCTCCACAGAAAGGTTTTCACAGCACACGCTCTGAGCAGTGCTTACTGGAAGCCCTGATATGCTTGACCCTGCCAGACAATAGGCTTTTCTTTTGTGAGGGGATGCCCAGGGAACTACTTATCTGGTCTGAACGTCTATCACTACTACTAAAGCCCAGTGCTGTCCAGTGTTGATGGGATCTGGCCAGAGGGCCCTGTGGAGCTCTAGACCACTGTTATGATCCACACAGATTGGTTCACCATGTTTTAAGTCTGTCTGCAAGGGCTATAAACAGACTCAAGCTACTCTCATCAAAAGAGATAACCCAGCAGCAAGGCACTGTGGGCATGTAGGGGTGAAAGGTCCAGGATTGGTCAACAAGACTCACTTCTTGGTTCTGATTATATAACCTCCCTGTGCCTATGTCATTCCTCAGTAGGGCTGTACTTGAACAGCTTGAGGAGTGTGCAACTATTCAATAATGACTTCTTGCACTCCAGGAGAGCTTGATATCCAAACTACCAACCAGACTGCCCTCATGGGGGTTAGGGCTGGCTATCCTTTTTAATATACAGCCAGAAAACAGTTACTTCTGGTTCTCCCGCCTAGAACAAACCTTTCTCAGGCTGTTAGAGCTCCAGGACATTGTACTGCACTCTGTTGCATCCATACAAGCAGCACAAGGCTCACAGCTGGAGGAGAAAAGGAAAGAGGTAAAGGGCATAAGACAAACCTCTTGCTCATGAAGTGATAATGCATCCTTAAAGCTCCTGTGACAAAAAGGCTGAGCAGCATAAGTCAGAAAGACTTATGTCAGGTGCCTCACTGGTGTGTTACTCACCCAAAAGTGCACTGTATATCCTAGCCACTATCATTAAGAGGGCTGAAAAATGGAGTTTTAAGAGCAAAGAACCCTTTCACACTGGAAAATATTTGGTTCAAAACAATTTTTTATATTTAATTTTGCAATTTAATTTATAGAAATTATAAATATATTGCAAATATTATAAATAAATTATAGCATTATAATTTTAAATAATATAATTATAAATAAATTATAAAAATAATTTATTTTTGCAATTACTGGCATAAGCAAGGATGCTATACTATAAATATTGAGACACAATTGATAAGACAGGGGAGAGTCCTAAATTATGGGTTAGAATACTCACATTGCTTTTTGTATTTAAAATGCAAAAAGAAAAATCCTGAATTTGTCAGAAATTAAAAGGTAAATGCAAATCTTGATCCCTGGAGATGGCAGTGGAACAATTGGAATTTTAAAACAGAAACATCAAAAGGCATGATAGGAAAAAAGCTGAGTTTCATAAAGACTTAGAGGCACATTAATTAACCAAGAAAAAGCAAGCAAAATCAACCTATCCTTTAAAGGAGTTCTACAAGCATGGGGAAAGGCTTTAAATGTTTCTGTTATAGAACTTGTCCAAAAGAAAGGCAAAAGAAGGTAACATTTGAGACTCTGGCTGAGCAGAACAGATACAGCCCCTCTCCCAGCTGCCTCCTGGTCATCAGTTATGTCAGTGCACAGCTGGAAGGTGTTCAGAGCAGAATTGGGGGATATCAGTTCTCTACCCGAGTATATTTTGAAGAGGGGATGAAAGAATTGGTTTTTCGTTTGCTAAGCAAACAATGATCACATAGTTGCAATCAGCAACATGGTAAGAGAGAGCAAAATACTGCGCCTTATTTCTCTACCACAAATAGTACCCAGCTTCTGAAGTTTGAGGAGAGCTGCAAGATTGTGAAAATCTTAAGGACTGGGTTTTCCAACACTGTCCACAGAATCTCATCTTTTAACAAAAAATAGCCATTTTTGGTCTAAATCAAGGGACAATTTAGCCCAGCTTGTCTGTAACACTAGACAAAAGCAAATGTATTGGAGAGAGCAGAACTGGGTAAGTATGCAGCAATACTCTCTTAATCACAAGCAACTTGCAGTTCAAGGACTTCCCCAGCCAAAGGAGATGTTTTTATATTCAAGAGGCCCTAGTTAATTTCTTTCCTATGAATTTGTCAATATGCCTTCAGAATCTGTGTGAACTTTTAACAGTCACAGTATCCTGCAGCAAGGAGTTATAATGATTAATGATAAATTGTATAAAGAACAAAAGAAATCCTGTTTTGAAACTCCTTCCTTCTTATTCATGTGTTGCCCTGTAACTTTGCTTAGAAGGGACAGTGCATAGTCAAACTCCATTCACCTTAGGACCACACCGGAATCTACAGAACCATCTCACATACCTTCTCAGTTTTCTCTTTTCCATGGTGCAGCGTGTTTACTGATTGCCATAGTCATACAAGTCTGTTTACTCATTTCTAAGGCCCTCACAGATTTATGATCATTCTCCTCCTCTGTACTGTACTCTGCACTGAACAGATCCTACACAGAGCAGTTACAAATGTCTGCTGTTCTTCTTGGACATGAGGAGCACCTTACAGAGACCAGTGAATTGTAGTGCTTGGGCAGACAGGAGTGAGGGACAAGGTATCCAGGAGCTCAAACAGGTACCTGGACCTGGACCAAGGGAAATCGTACTGAGCAGCAGGAAGTGATCCACAGGCAGGAGACAGACAGGCCCTTTCAGTACTGTCCCTTTGAGATCTGCAGCAGATATTTGGGTCTCTTTTAGGATGGTTTCCTATTGGCAGAGAAATTGTGTATACAGGATCAGGTATTCTCTCAGTGTAGTTAAGAAAACCCAGTAGTGGAACAGACACAGTCATAAGTGATGCATAGACTTCTAGAAATGCCCATCTGCTGTCTCTCACTTTAAACAAGAGAGCTGACAACCTCTAAAATGCTTCAATTCCCTCCCCTCCCCACCCCCCTTTTTTTTTTAACCTGAGCTTTTGTTTTTTGAGCTTTTAGGACCAGATTTATTAAACAGATTCTCAAACTCAGTGACATCTCTGAGAACTCTGGAAGTGATGTCTGCAATTGCTGACAGCTCTGTGAGAGTTGATATTTTCTCTTAAAGCTGCTGAACATCTATTAATACATTAAAAAACCCAATTTTGCACAAATTACAATGTTATCCACCATTCAGGTTCATAGGACAGAGCCAGATAACATGACTCAACAATATCCAAGAGCTCTAAAGCCATAAGGCAAATAAAACTAGGTCGATATCTGTAAAAGTTGCAAACTATAAGTCAGTCTTGTGATCTCATGGAGAAGGACACAGGTTTGTATATTCCAGCTTAGCAATACATCCAGCTGAGTTTCAAAGCCATGGATAAACACTTCCCAGAATAACAGCTGAGAAGAGCATAATTTGCAGTGGCTACTGTATGAATACAAAAAGAAGATATCAAGAAATATAAAAAGATTTTCCAGATGAGAACTGTCAGAGTCTGAAAATGAAAGGGCAGTTCCAAACCCATCTTTTCTAGGACAAATTCAAGTATGTGGCTTATTAAATCCTCTCACAGCTGGAATGCTCAAAAGAAGAAAAATCAAATGAGAAGCACTGTCTGCTCTAAATGGATGAGGAAATTTAAAGCTTTGCAGTAATGTCTGTTTTAAAAGAGCAAGTGCCAGCTTATGGCAGCCATGAGCAGAGCTGGATCATTCTTTCAGCCTATCTATGAAGCCTGACCAGCACATGCAACAAAAAAAGATCTGTTACTTCCCTAGGTATGAGTTGTTTCTCGAGAAGAACAAACTGAGCAACATGAAGCAGTACCAAGCATTATGGGCAGTACACAGGCTTGTACTGCTCTCTTTAGGAAGGGTGTATCTAGAGGTGCTTTGCTCACTCAGGGCTCCAGTCTCCCAGGTACTGCCCAGCAGTATCTGAGCAACTGGCCACCACCGAAGAGAAACCAAAAGAAACCAGGATACACACTTGGACAGTCCCTCAGAGCCAGGCTGAGAGCTGAAACACACTGCTTCTGCTTTGTGGAAATCATCCAAAACTGAGGGTATTCCAGAAAAATACCTTAATCCTGTTGAGATTTCAGAAGTCTATCTGGAATCTCAGATGTCTACTTCAGCTTGTGAAGAGCATTTCTGCAGTTCAGATGGGCAAATTCTGAGAGATTCAGTTGTATCTTGTTTCTTCCTTGCCTTGCCTTGCCTTTGCCTTGCCTTGCCTTGCCTTGCCTTTGCCTTGCCTTTGCCTTGCCTCTTGCCTTGCCTTGCCTTACCCTGCCCTGCCTTGCCTTGCCTTGCCTTTGCCTTGTTGTTGCCTTGCCTTTGCCTTTGCCTTTGCCTTGCCTTTGCCTTGCCTTTGCCTTTGCCTTGCCTTGCCTCACCCTGCCTTGCCTTGCCTCGCCTCGCCTCTTTCTTTCCTTTCCTCTTTCCTTTCCTCTTTCTTTCCTTTCCTCTTTCTTTCCTTTCCTCTTTCTTTCCTTTTCTCTTTCTTTCCTTTTCCCTTTCTTTTTTCTTTCTTTTCTCCCATTAGTCTACCACAGGTAGATCAGTCTCACCTTCCTCCAGACTCCCAGACTCCTGGGAAAAGGCTCTATTTCTTAGTCTGTGCACATCACCACAGTGCTTCTGGTTGAGTCAGAGAGTATATTTAAGCCAATGAGTCATCCACAGCTCTTTCAGGAGGAAACTTTTGCTATAACTTCTATTACTTACACAAGCTATACTGTGACGATTGAGACATAATTGGTAAGGGACAGGTGAGAGTAGGGGAAGTCCCTTATTATGGGTCCGAATAGCCACATTTCTAATTGAAATGCTTTAAGTAAGGAAGAACTTATTGTGGACAGAACAATCTTAGTGCAATAAGTGACATTCTTGTTTTTTTCTTTCAAGGTTTCATTTTCTTCAGCATCCAGAAAAGTCACTCATCTTTTTAGGGATTGTTGGCATGAACTGTGGCAGAAAATTTGGCCAAAAACTGTGCAACAAGTTAGGTTAATTTACAGTCACATACAAAACTAAGAAGAACTAAATGACTTAATTATTCTTAACAAAAAAAAAAAGCAAGCCTGAAAACTACGCATAACACCAATTAACAAAGCACATGTAGAAACATTTTTCTAAACAATAACTGAAAATGGGCATGGCAATGTTTTAAAATTACTCCACAAAGTTAGTGTGTGTTTGCAACTAAAAATGAAAGGGAGCCAGCATGTTTTAGAATGCTTTAATAATAAATATTCCTCTGCTTCTGATGGAAGTGAACTTTCTTAGAGAGATTTTAGTCCAAGGTAAAATCACATAGGACAGAAACACAAAGCAGAAGAATGAATTAAATCAGCAAAAGTTTCTAACCTGCAGAAAAAAATTTGTGGTGAAAAAAGACTCACAAAAAGGATATGACAGTAATTAAAAGATATTATAACTGACAGTAATTCACCATAAAAAATTCCATACCTGTTCATATGCAGTTTCAAATAAATGGTTGTTCTTTATTTCTTTGCTGAGCAGGGAAGTGTCATAATTGACAGACAGTCCCATTAGGTATTGTTCCAGCTGTCAGACTTCAGGAGAAGGTTGCACGCTATCACACAAAACAGTAAAACTCAGTTCTTTAGAAAGTTTTTCAGGGCAAGGAACACACTTAAAATTAAAGAAAGAGGTTTTTACAAAATTGAAGACTACATCTTTCAATCCAGACTAGCACTTAAAGCTTTCAATAGAACAACAAAAGTAATTTTGACCTTCTCTTTGACTGCATCTCCTAGGAAGACAGCTAAAGAAATGA